TGGGGCAGAGCAGCTTGGGTGCTGCTGGGTTGGTCCAGTAGCGCCGAGGAGCGGCGCTACTGGAGCAACCCAGCAGCACCTAAGCTGCTCTGCCCCAGGCGTCCACAAGTCAGCTGCTGCTGAAACTGACCAGCGCTGACTACAGGAAGCTCCTGCCCCGGGCTTCAGCCGCTGATCAGTTTCAGCAGCAGCTGACTTGGGGATGCCTGGGGTTCTTAAGTTGAATCTGTATGTAAGTCAGAACTGGCGTCCAGATTCAGCCTGTTGAAACTGATCAGTTTCAGCAGCGGCTGAATCTGGACGCCAGTTCCGACTTACATACAGATTCAACTTAAGAACAAACCTACAGTCCCTATCTTGTACGTAACCCGGGGACTGCCTGTACATAAATTCAAGCTTCCAGACGACAAAAAAATCTCTGTGGTTAACTAGGAATTGACCATTTTCCTACCACATTAAATCTCACAGGATTAGTGAAAATAGTAAAAGCAGTAGGAAATGTTAATTAATAAGAATTATAAAATTGTTTTTAGTAATATAGGGTGACAAAGGTGGTACCTGGTGCTTTCAGTCCTGCATTTCAGCCATATTTGGTAAAAAATATATTTTACAGTTTCCTTAGAAATATTTATATCTAGGAATGATATAAAGAACACCATTTTGGCTAAATTAGGGATCTGCACATATGGGACCTAAGAAAAATTAAATTAAAATATTTATAAAAGAGCATAGTACTCCATATATAAGCCCTCTCCACATTAGTTATTGCTAGCAGAGTTTCAGCACAATTAGGGTAAGTTTAGACTGCAGGGGTTTTCCGGGATGAAAAACTCGCCTGCATCCAGGGAACGCGTTTGCTCTTCTGCTTTTTTTTTTCAGAAGAGCAAACGCACTCTTTCAGGGAGCCCTGTATACCTCATTCTACGAGCAATAAGGACTCCACCGAAAGAGGAGGTTTTCCCACCATTTGGCCCCATCTAGATGGGGCCAAATGGCAGAAAAGCCTCTTCCAGAAAAGCAATCGGAAAAAGCTATGCAAATAGTGCAGCACAATTTGCGTAGCTTTTTCCAAAAAAATGCTATAGTGCAGACCTAGCCTTACTCTGTTTCATGCTGATTGCAATTAACTGTTTTCAGACTAATATACTAATTTTGGGAATCGCCTGTAAGCCCATTTGCTATCATGAATCTCAGTGAAAACACCCTGTCCTACCATGCTAATGAGGAAACCTGATAGCAGCAGCTGCATTTCAAATAAAGTTGTAGTTAATATATATTCCTGATCTCAGCCTGAGTCCAAACAAGGTTTTAAATAGAACTGTGATTTTAGGAATTTAGAGGTGGGCAATAAAATGGTGGCGTTTTGCTAAGGTTAGCCCCTGGCAGGCCGCCATTACTATGATTACCTGTGCCTCCACAGGTAAGGGACCACTGTTACCAGCCAATGGGAGTTGGAGGAAGTGGCGTGGTCTAGGACATTGCTTCCTGCAGGTGATTTGCGGCCATGAGGACCTGAAATCACTCATACTTGCGGAGGCACAGGTAAATGTAGCAGTGGCGGCCTGGCAGGGGCTAACCCTAGTGAAACAGATGTGGCCCATGGGCTGGTATTTTCCTACCCTTGCTCTAGCCTATGAATATGTGTTTGAAATGGGGCAGATTGTTAATCTAAGAAGTATATTTTCACAGTGTATGCACCATACCCTTGCATGAAGAAATCATTGAACTTTGGAAAGAGACTGTACTACTAAAAGTGTACTTAATTATAAATCCAACTAAAGTTAGCTGCAAATCTCCTACATATTTGGGAGAGTTTGTCTGAGTGACTGTGTCTGTCCGTGTGTTAATTCAAGAACTCCTTCTAAACAGTAAGAGCTAGGACCACCAAATTTGGTATGTAGCTTCCTCTTAGCATAACTTAAAGCAAGGTCAGGGTTTAGTTGTGACGGGACAATGGGATGTGCATGTAATGTGATTGTTTCTCATAACATGGAAAGGGAGGGCTCTGCTAGCAAGGACAGTTATCATATATATATAGTAGCCCAGTGTCTTAGAGTCTGTAACGCTGAAATGCTGGCTGTTCCCTCTGGGCAGCCCGTGCTGCATGGGGAGTGCTGGGCCCAAACAGCCACTTGCTCCCCTGAGGCGGCCCGGCTGAGCTAAGAAAAGAAGCAAAGGTTAAAAAAAAAAAAAAAAAAAACGTGAGGCATGACAGCAGCTCCAGGCCCACCAAGTTTGGGTGAAATAAAATGGATCAATTAAGAGTTCTCACATTTCTCAAAATGTCAAGAAATACTGCAGAAAAATTGGAAAAAGTTTAAACAAGCATTTGATTTATTTCTGAGGGCATCCAGATCTACTCATAAGGAAGAGGAACAAAAGATTGCCATCTTTTTGAATACTGCAGCTACAGAAGCAATTTCATTATCTAATTCATTTGAGCTTAATGTTAGAGAACGAGCCAACTATGAGTTTGTCTTAAGAATATGTGAGGAATACTGTTTACCAAAAAGAAATGAAACATTTGATCAGCAGAGCACCAAAGCGGGAGGCGAAGGGGAG